TGGTATACAATACAAAAGAAATTCCAAATTATCCACATACAACAAACTACTTTTTTACAGGCAGATATTGAAACCTGTATGGACGCATGGTATCCAGCTTTGGAGCTGGTAAAAGTAACATTATTTAATGTTTCCAGAATAAAGTATTAAGGAACATCGTTGATGTACCCTGGTACTGCTGTAATACTGATCTTAAAGTGGAGATTGTTGAAAATACAATACAAAATTTGCCAGTAGTCACCAATAAAGACTGCTCCAACATGTAAACGTTGAGGTTATCCAGCAACTCAACAATACCAATATAATAAGAAAGCTCAAGAAAACATAGCATTTTGAGGTAGTTCAGTGAGGTTTAGTGTTATATGTTTACAGTAGTGTAACTAAATAATTAAACTCTAAGTGAGTAGAATATTAGTTTATGAAGTTTTTCATCTCTAGGAAAGTTAGGTTAGAATAAAATTGTCAAATTTTAAACTTAAGCTTTATTCCGGCTTCCAGTGAACGATTAGATTTTGGGTAGAGTCGGAACATCTGGGGGGGTACTTTATGGGTGGTCATTTTTATATTTTATGAAATATATATGTTATTTACGTTTAGGGAAGAAAATTCTTCAAATAAAAGTTACTTACAAAACTATTATCTATCATTTTTGTTCTATATAAAATTTTGCTAAAATGGTCCATATTTGAGAAATTTGACAAAATGTAAAGAAAAATAATTTTTTATAAAAATTGTTCAAATAAAAGTTGTTTGTAATATAATTTTCTATAATTTTTATCCTATACATAATTTCTCTAAAATGGAACGTATTCGAGAAATTTGAGAAAATGTGTTTTAGAATTTTGATGAAAACTCAAAAACGGATAGAGGAAAAAAAATTAAATTTAAAACTTAAGTTTTATTTCAGACTGACAAAGTCGGAACATCTGGGGGGTTACTTTATAGGAGGTTTTTATATTTTATGGAATATATCTGTTATTTATGTATAGAGAAGAAAATTGTTTAAATAAAAGTTACTTCTAATATTATTATCTATAATTTTTGTTTTGTGCAAAATTTTCCTGAAATGGTCCGTATTCGAGAAATTTGACAAAATGTGTAAAATTCTGATTTTTATGAAAATTATTAAACTAAAAGTTGTTTGCGATATCGATCTCTATAATTTTTGTTTATACATGATTTTTCTAAAATGGGCCGTAATGGAAAAATTGTAGAAAAAGTGCTAAATTTAAATTTTTCAGTATTTTCGTTTTCAATGAATATTTATAGAAAAATGTTTCGAGGTAGATGTGGAAAATGTATATATTTAGTTTATCCTCTAAACATTTATAGAGGTGCTGCAATAGGTTGTACAAAATAACTGGAAAAAGCCTATAATAACTAGATAGAAAAGTCATGTGTTGGACACATCAGATTTTTAATACAGGAATCGTAGCTAAACAATTTAAAACTTCAATTATAACACCTATTTATAAAGCTGATAATGAAAAATTAATAACTAACTATAGACCTATTAGTTTAATTAGTAATGTAGAAAAATATTTGAGAAATGTGTGAATGACTGACAGATTTTTTAAAAACTAATGATTTACTTCCCAAGCACCAATATGGCTTTACTGAGGGCCTTAACTCAGGAGATTACTATGCATGAATTGATTTCATATGTTACTGATGAAATGAATACTGGTAACAAGTGTATAGCTATATTTCTAGATCTAGCAAAGCATTTGACATTGTGTCACATCAGAAGCTCTGAAATGTTCTTGAACAGAATGGAGTGAGATGCATTGTGTTGAAAGTTTTTGAAAATTATTTGACACACAGACAACAGAAGGTCAAGTCCAAAGACAATGTGAGTAACCCTGAAAATATACAAATCGGAGTGCCCCAAGGGACTGTTCTGGGACCTATACTATTTAATTTATACATTAAGAGCTTAACTCAGATTGATATTCAAGGTAAAGTTGTATCATATGTTGATGATACAGTGCTAGTCTGGAATGGAACATGTCAAAAACTGGCTGGATGTTTTTAAATTATCTTTGAATGTTAACAAAACAAACTACATTGCTTTTTCAAAGACAGTGGCTAATCGACCTCAATTTAGAAGCTTAACATGTCAAAATTTGGACATACAGGAAACAGAAACATCCAAATATTTAGGTATAATTATAGACCAGCACTTAAAATGGGACTGCCATATAATATATATAGCAAAAAAACTTAGATTTCTGATTTATAAATTTTATCTTCTAAAACAATTTCTTAACCAGGATCTACTAATAACATTATACTACAGTCTAGTAGAATCTATACTATGGTATGGAATCTTAGTATGGGGAGGCATGTATGGAACTACATTAAATCAGTTAAATGTTATTAAAAAAAAATCTTGAAGTTAATATATAAAAGAAACAGATTGTGTCCCACCATAATTTTATATAATGAAAACATACGGGTGTGAAGTTATCCACATCCACAAATGTACACTGAGAAAAATATAACTCTATCGTAATAGTCATATAACTTGGTTCAAATTACCTGTAGAGGCTTTTCATTTGTAGATTTCAATTGGGGAGGTTTCAATACACAGCAACCATACCCGCAATTAACTTTTGCTTTGTCTCAGGGGGTGCAATTGGGGGTGAAATTTAAAAAAAATCATAGAAGCCACAAATGGCTTTGTACACCTTTCTGCTTGGGATATGTTATGTAGTTTACTCTTTTCTTCATCCCTGATACCATGCTGGAGTTTGTCGAGCCGTCTGAGGGGGTGCAATTAAGGATGAAATAAAAAAAAAACATAAAAGCCACAAATAGCTTTGTACACCTTTCTGCTTGGGATATGTTATGTAATTTTCTCTTTTTTCCATCCATGATAGCATGCTGGAGTTTGTCGAGTCGTCTGAGGGAGTGCAGTTGGGGATGAAATTTAAAAAAAAATCATAGACGCCACAAAAGGCTTTGTACACCTTTTTACTTGAGATATGTTATGAAGATAGCTATTTTCTTTATGCCTGATACCATGCTGGAGTTTTTCGAGCCGTCTGAGGGGGTGCAATTGGGGGTGAAATTAAACAAAAAATCATAGAAGTCACAAATGGCTTTGTACACATTTCTGCTTGGGATATGTTATGTAGTTTGCCCTTTTCTTCATCCCTGATAGCATGCTGGAGTTTGTCGAGCTCTCTAAGGGGTGCAATTGGGGGTGAAATAAAAAAAATCATAGAAGCTACAAATGGCTTTGTACATCTTTCTGCATGCGATATGTTATGTAGTTTGCTCTTTTCTTCATCTAAGATACCATGCTGGAGTTTGTCGAGTCGTCTGAGGGAGTGCAATTGGGGATGAAATTTAAAAAAAATCATAGACGCCACAAATGGCTTTGTACACCTTTCTGCTTGGGATATGATATGTAGTTTACTCTTTTCTTCGTCCCTGATAGCATGCTATCAGGGATGAAGAAAAGGGCAAACTACATAACATATCCCAAGCAGAAATGTGTACAAAGCCAGTTGTGGCTTCTATGATTTTTTGTTTAATTTCACCCCCAATTTCACCCCCTCAGACGGCTCGACAAACTCCAGCATGGTATCAGGGATGAAGAAAAGAGTAAACTACATAACATATCCCAAGCAGAAAGGTGTACAAAGCCATTTGTGGCTTCTATGATTTTTTTTAAATTTCACCCCCAATTGCACCCCCTGAGACAAAGCAAAAGTTAATTGCGGGTATGGTTGCTGTGTATTGATACCTCCCCAATTGAAATCTACAAATGAAAAACCTCTACAGGTAATTTGAACCAAGTTATATGACTATTACGATAGAATTATATTTTTCTCAGTGTACATTTGTGGATGTGGATAACTTCACACCCGTTGAAAACATTAGCAATGTTAGATGTTTATATATTCACCCAGTATGTTGTTATATACAAAAAAATTAATTTTTAAAAAACCCTTTAGAACATAAGACATAACACTAAAACTGCATCGAACATGTGCATTAAAGTACCAAAACCAAATAGTGAGTTTTTTAAAAACAGTGTAAATTATCTAGGGACAAAGTTCTATAATGCTCTACCTCTTCATATAAAATTATTAAACAAATATAAAAAATTCTGTAAAGTTAGCAAAATATACATTTTCCAAAATAATGCAAAGTTTATCAGAATATTCCAAGAGTAACGAACTTAATACATGGATTTTTTTTAATAGTTTTTTTCCTGTTTCTTGTATAAATTGTTCAAGTTTTATTTTTTTATTTCTTTTATAATTAATTAAATATAATTAAAATAAAATTTTAATTTTTGTCAGTACATACAGGTGTTCTCACCTAGATGCTTGTTATTATATAATTGGTTTCCATTATTGTACTTTATTGTAACTTATTTATTATTGTAACTCATTTTAACTTATAACTATTATAAACTATTATTATAACTATTAAACTCTGACAAATAAGTTGATTGGATCTGACAGTTACATAATTATTTTGTCAGTTACACATTGAATGACATTTTAATAATAAAATTATCTTTATATATTCAGAAATATATTGACAGTTAAATTAAATGAACCCCACCAGAACTACGAGTAGCTACAGAAAATGCAACCTAAGACATTATTCCAAAACAAATCAGGGAGAGATACAAAAAGATTTAAAAAGCATATACAGTAAGCTAACTAGGAAGAAAGTAAGCTTCCCAATTATTTTGAAGATTACAAATCCACTAAATGTGAGTAAATTTATTAATTTATCAAATAGCCTCTCAAATACTAAATGAAGAATACTATCGAAAATAAGCCAGGAATAAGGCAGGGAAAAAGAAAATGTACAAAATCTAAGACATGAACATAAACAAAAAATAGGAGAGAATGCACAAAGACAAATCAATATCCTTTTACATATACATTTATACAAAAAATAATGTCAAAAATTAGTAGGAAAATAACAGTAGGTACAACAAAAATGTAGAGTAAATAAAAAAAGATTCCTACCTTATTAAACATCTTTTATTTTCGTCATTTTTTCTTCTATCAAGTCTACTATCTTCATTTCTTCTATGATTACTTTTATCTCTTCCACGAAGTGTATCTTCTCTATCATTAGGTCTTCTTACATCCATTTCTTTATGTCTTCTCATATCAATTTCTTGAAAATCATCTCTACTTTTAGGTCTTCTTGTATCAATTTCTTTAAAATTATCTCTATATGTATCGATTTCTTTATATCTTCTTGTATCAAGCTCTTGAAAATGTGCATATTCTCTACTTTTAGGTCTTCTTGTGTCAATTTCTTCTCTATCAACAGGTCTTCTTGTATCAACTCGTTTTCTAACATCATTTTCTTTATTTGTACCAAATTTACCACCATTTTTCTGATAATCTAATTCCCTATCATTGTTAAACCTCCTTTGAAACATGTTGTATCTATTTTTTGGGTTGCTATTATTATATCTATCTCTAAAATTACCTTCTTTGTGCCAATTTGTTCGTGACTGTTCTCTGTTATCTTGACGCCAATTTTCTCTTGTTTGTTTATTATATTTATCACTAAAGGCTTTTTCGTCACTGTCTCTATCTGTTTTAATGTCGTGTACATCTTCATCAGTAATTTCCCCTTCAGAATATACAGGAGTATCGACAACTACTTCTTTGCTGCTTGTAGCTTCATTTTTAACATTACTGTCTATAACTTCATTTTTTACATTATCAACCCTTTCTATATTAATATTTTTATCTATATTAGTTTGAAATTGAGTTCCTCTGCGCCTAAAAGCAGTGTTGTCTCGTTGGGTTCTTAAGTCTGCTATTATACCTTCCTTTCTTTCCAACTCCGACTTTGCTGTTTTAAACAGAGTAGATATATTTTTAGTAAGACTTTCGTTAACTTTTTGCATTTCCTCTAAAGCTCCGACCAACTTTTGTATGTTCAATTCTTGAGACTGTGCATGTTGTCTTAACTCTTCATTCTCTTTTTTATACTGAAACGTTATATTTATTTATAGAAATATTATAGAATATAGATAGGATGATAAATAATTACCTTTTCGACTATATTTCCTAAATCAAAATCTTCAAAATCCTCGTAAATATCGTCAATGCCTAAATTGTTGTCTTCTTTAGTGTCCATTTTTGGTAGATTTTGCTTATAATAACATGAATTTGTGTACGGTTTAGATTTTCTTGATAAATATACCACTTTGATGATATTATTGCTTGTTAATTAAAATTAAAAAATGGTTTAGCTTTTCTAAAATCTATAAATTTTAACTTTTTACAAATATACACAACACAATGTTTTTGTAGTTTGGCGTTTTAAAATAGTTATGTTGGTATCACTGAAAAATATGCGCGAAATATTGCAGCGTTGCCAATGCTACTTTTCTTTTTACACACTATAATGAAACGTTTTAAATAATAATTTATTTTATTAACATTCTCAATAAATATAAATAAATAGGATATTTATTTTGTTTGTAACTTTAAAAGAAAAATTTAATTATCGTATCTCATTGTCATATAGTGTGTGCCATTAAGTGGGATTCATATGGAATTTTTTTTTAATAATACGGTTGGAAAAAAACGTCCTACGACTGCTTATTTAAAAATTTAAAATAGCCCATCTCAAAGTTGGCAACTGATATTATTTTTCTGTCAAATTAGTATATAGAAAACAAATTTAGAACGATTTAAAAAATATATGAAAGTAACACCCATGGTACCAGATCCTTTCGGTTTATATTTTGCAACGAAGCCTTATAGTTCCTGGGGTACACCCTGGTACTAATGTTGCTACTTTATTGGGTATGGCTCCTTTAATGGTTGTTTTGAAGTACTGACTGTGCCATGTTATAATTCCACTGTTGTTAAATGTAATAGAACTATTAATAATTAATGGGAGCTTTATTACGTACCCAGTTTACTGTTTGGCTGCTACAACAACAAGGCCGAACAGTATATGCAACCAAGCATACATAACTACTAACTCTAACTACATACTACTAGTTATGCAACTCACAATACTGTTATTACACGGATACCATTTATTGGATACCATTTATTGGAATTGTAACTACAATAGTATCAGTAAATCACTAATATGCCTAAATAAAGTACCTAGGTACATAGAGAGGTCAAAAAGGTCCCAGAATAGTCAAAGTAGCATTTAAATAATAACTGAAACTGGGAACTATCATTTTATTGTTAATCAATGGTGGAAAAAACTATATAGTACCAGTGAATCAGTTAATGCCACCCACCAGTGCCTCTATTGATATGCCCAAATAAAGTAACTGGGTACAAAGAGAGGCAAAAAGGTCCCAGAATAGTTCCAGTGACCATAACTTGGAACTTTAAAGTATCGTTTGTCTATAAAGCTAGCATGGAAAAGTCATACTATATTTTTTGACTAATTTTTTTGCTATTTTTTTACCAAATTTTTAATATTTTTGCTCCTGCTGTTACCGAGAAATATTGATACTTAAGCTACAATGGCCAGTGCTGTATTTCTGTTTCTATGAGATATATCAGAATCGGGTTTGTGGCATATTTTTTTGCTTTAGAAATAAATATTTCTACAAGTTTTTTCAAAAACTTAAGCACTTATGAGAATAAATAAATGCAGTGCATTTTCCAAAAGATGAGTTAACACGAGGGTATTTTGCCTTAAGGTTTAGTGGCCTGTGCTTTGCAATGACATCCATAAAAATACATAATAATATTGTTACCAGAATTCTGCAGTGTCATTTTCTGTTACCTTTCTTATTGTTTCACAAGTTTTATGATTGTGTGCTCTAGAAAATATTATTTGATTGAAAATATGAATGTATATTCGAATTTATGCTTAGCAGTACCCACAGCGTAGAGGTTAGATTCTGGTCGCACTCGAAGTTAGAACTGCAGCTGTAGAAAAAGACGTACTTAATTTAATTGAAGAATCCTCAGAAACTAGTGACAGGACAATAAAATGCTATTTAATAAATTAATTTTTTTCTAAAAAAACTTGTACAGTTAAAAAAGTTAGTAAATGAATTGGGCTTTTTATCAATATTTTTTTAAAAGAAAAATTTTTATCTAAAAAAAAATTTGTAAGAAAAAATATATATTTTCAAACCCTTCTAAGCATACTTCTGGTTTGAAAAAATTTTAAAAAATGTATTTTTATTGACAAATAATATTTACCAAGTTTCGTGTTTTTAGCTTTTAATATACAGGGAATATAGAAAAGAGTAACAATTTTTTTTAAATCTAAAGGTGTAACTTTGCCGGGGAGGATTTTTCAAACAAAAATTATACCAAATACCCACCTTAATTTTCATCACAGAATCATCCTTTAAATTTTTTCGGTGTTATTTAGATAGGGTCCGATTATAATTAGAAGAACACAGCTACGTCATAACTAGGGCTTGGAAAATATGCACTTAAAAATGGTCTAAATATGTATGCATTTATGCGTTAACAATAGACAAAATATGCTTTTAAATATGCAAAATAAAAAGACAGTCATTTTTTATATTTAAATGTTATTATAGACTTTTTAAATATATGATTAGATGATTTTACAATTCTATCAATCACATCTAATTAATTATTATTATTAGAATGAAAACAGTAAGTTATTAAATATTTTTCAATGTTTTCATTAGTGAAACATTGCCTTTTATCACTTAAAATAGGTTTGTACGCCGAAAATGAACGTTCCACTTCACAAGATGTTATAGGTGCATATTTAAATTTTGAAATTAAAAGTGGTGAAATATTTGAATCCAATTCATTATTAAAGTTGCCAGATAAAACATTATTTATACCCTCTAATGTCTGAAATTCTTTATTATTTAGTAAAATTGATGTAAATTTTCGTGTAACATTATTTTCCATTAACACAGACTGTTCAATGAAAGTTTTTAAATTTTTAACTGTTTGTATGCTTTCAAATAGATTCGAAATTCAAGTTTAGTTATGGCTGTGGCTATGCATGTATAATTTGCTTGAATGTGGACAATATGGCTATAAACTATAGGATCGTTAAAAATATCGATGCATTTTTTAATTGCAATTGAGTCTTCTGGGTCAAAGTCGCAGATGACATCTTTAATTTCGTTAAAATTTGTCGCAATAAAAGTAAACACAGTTTAACCAAGTGCCTTATCGTGTTAAAACTGGTTCTGGTGGCAATGGAATTCCAGGCAAACGATCCTTATAAAATTGAAGGAGGAGCTTTTACAAAAACCTTTTTAATATTTTTAATTAAATCATTTACGAGTAGAAATTCATTCCTAACCGTCTCAGCCACCCTATTAAACCATGTGCTAAGCATGTGCAATGGATTAAATTTCTAGCTGCTTTTACCATGTATGCAGTAGCATCAGTGACCAATAATAAAATATTGTTTGTAGGCACTTGTCTAGGTAAATAAAAATTTGATAACTAATCATTAATAAATCTGGTTATCGTTAAATTATTTGTTTTGTCTAAAATTTTAACTGAAATTAAATATCCTTTACCAGGGATATTTTCATCTAGTGCGCCTATCATAAATTTTACAATATAGCGGCCCTGCGTATCAGTTGATTCATCAACCGAAAAACCACACAGGTTTATCGTTAATTTCGTTTCTTATAGAATTCAATGCGTTATCAAAATTAACTTAAACATATTTTTTGCGCAAAACGGAAGAACTGGGTAAATTTTCTTCCTTAAAATAAGTTTTAAAAAATTTCTAAACAGAGGATTATCCAATTTGTGAATTGGAATATTACAAGATACAAATAAATTGCACAAATTTCTATTAAAATTGTCCTGATGATAAGAAGTGGTCCCTTGGTCTGTTATTAACTGTTGAATCAATCGGTTTGGAAGTTGTTTTCTGGATAAGTGACTTGTTCCTAAATGTTGATCCACTTGAAATTTTTTAGTTCAGACAATTTACAAAAATAGATCCAACGTCGTCGTCAAATATAAAACAATTTTTTTTAAATCAAAAAATACGTGAATTTTTATGAATATATAAAAATAAAATCTAGATGATTTTCAAAAATCTGGCTGGTAGAAAGAAGCTTTTGAGTAAAAATAAAAAAAAACATTTCCTTATTTAAAAGAATGAAAAACTATTAAATTGTTGATTTTTTAAAAATTAGATAAAATCCGAATAAACAATTTAGTATAGCTCTTATATCATATCTTGATTTTATTTCTTTTTCTTCTAAAATAGGATTCAGCTGGCTTTGAAAAAAGTTAATAGTGTGAAAAATACAACAAAAATGTTAGTTATCCTTACCAGTTTATCGCAGGTGGAGCAAAAAACGTGATTAGAGTCTACAATTTTCAAATCACTTTTTCCATAGATCCTATTCTTCATCATTTGCATTTTTCTCGTAGCTTGTTTAGGCATTTTTAAAATGAACGTTTTTACTTCTACATTAACGGCACTTTTGCAAGAACATAACCAATAACAATACTTAACCAAAAGAAATTTTGAATAATACAGAATTAACTACCCACAAGAACAGATAAATTTTATGAAGCCATTTGCTATCAATCATCCCGTAATTGCCCTAATCCTTAGTAGTTTAGAAAGCAAAATACCCACTTGGTTAATATTTCTTGGTAAAATGCAGGTATAATTGAAAAATATTGTAATATTCAAAATAATGATAAATAAGCAATATTTTATTTTTAGATATGCATTATTATTTAAGATATGCATTATTAATTTAGTTATGCAATATAAAATTCTGCACTAAATATGCAGGCATGCACTTGCATATAATCCAAGCTCTAGTCATAACTATTACTTCGAATTTCGAATGCATATTATCTATAACTTTCATACAAACATAAATTAAGTAAGTTAGGTGTAAAACAATATTTCCTATATTTCTATAATATTAACACACCACTAAACTCCCATTAGGCGGCGATAACTAATTAATTATGTTGCCAAATGATGACGTAGCTGTTCTTCTAATTGTAATCGGACCCTATATTTACATGATTATTTTTTGCATCTTTTTTTAACATGACGTTTCACACGGACTTTTTTTGCTTAGAGATCCATACACAGGTAAAAAATAATAATAATAATAATAATAATAATAATAATAATAATAATAATAATAATAATAATAATAATAATAATAATAATAATAATAATAATAATAATAATAATAATAATAATAATAATAATAATAATAATAATAATAATAATAATAATAATAATAATAATAATAATAATAATAATAATAATAATAATAATAATAATAATAATAATAGTAATAATAATAAATGTCTCCCCACTCGACTATTCACGGTTGGGTTCTAATT